ATTGGCTTTACAAAACATGCAGTGGACAATACCACAAACAAAACACTAAAGACAGCCAACTGATGTTTTGGTCTCTTGGTTCCATTTTGCCTGCATGGATGTGTACGAAGGAAGCTTGCTCGCTGGCTTGTTCATTCTTGTAAAGCTTTATGTTTTCATTCATTTGGTAATTCATCATTTTCAATTTTTCAACAGAATCTTCAAGTCAAGATATTTGCAGTAGCTATGAATTCTCATTTCGATTTACAATACCTTACCARGACCTCCCCCCTTCGTACGAGTCTGCCCATGGCTATATAAGATACTCTATTAGTGCTAAAATACAAAAGAAAGGAAAAACTAAATTCAAGACAGAAAAGACTTTGTTTAATATTGGTAACTATCAAGAATATGATAAAAAGGAACTTGAAGAAATAAAAAATAGCGAACAGGTACGTGATGTCACTTTTGAAGAAAGGGAGGGATGAGGGAAGAAAAGAAGGGAGAGAGAAAGGGATGGGAGGGAAAGAGGGAGGGAGGGAGGGAGGGAAGAAAGCAAGGGAAGGGAGGGAAGGAAGGCAAGGGGGAGATGAAGGAAGGAACGCAAGCAAGGAATCATGAAAAGAAGAAAATAAAAGAAGTATGGAAAATTTGGGAGCCAGGGACAGGATAGAGGGGAGGGAGGGGAGGGAGGGGGCCATCAAGGAAGAAAGAGAGTAAAATGGAAATGAAATAGAGAGAAATATTTTCATTCGAATATTTTCTTGGTTTGTGCAGACAGTACGGAATGGTAAAGACCAAACAACAGTGCTTGGAAGAAGATGCTATCCTATAGGAATGGTAAACTTATCGGCCTACACTGATAAGATACTTTACCAGGACGGGGAAACCATTAAGACAGAGATCCATATCGATCGTCAACAAAAGATCGAAAGAATTGATGTGGCGTTGGTTAGAGTGACCAAATATAGCGACAGCCATGGTATGGTGTATCATTAGCATTTCTTTCAGACGTGATAATGTAATTCTAATTCTAGGGCTTCTTCTTTCGCTTATTGATGCTCTAAAATTATTTTTCTTAATTTCTTCATAACTTGATGATAAAATTAAGCGATAAAAAACTGTTTTTTAGAAAAAACATTTTAATGTACGACGTTTTATCATCAAGTTATATAGTAAGCCACTATTTATTCGTAATTTCTTCATACCATAGAAAATGCAAACAATACGTTCTCATATTACCCAATATAAAGCGGCTTATCGGCATTTTGTATTTTGTTTACTGAGATATGAAGCTTTATACAGTGTTGCACATCATTTTGTTTTGACGTCTTAAGTTGGGTTATCTAATCTACCAATCTTTGTTATTACACACAGGTCATTCAACATGTTATGCTGATAAACTAGTGTGCATAGATAAAGAGCTAGTTCAAGACCCTTCAGAAGATCCAACCATCAAACTAAAACTACCAATACCTCATGACATCTATCCAACTTTGCAATTTGGATGCAAATGCATTTGTATATATTACCACATAGAGGTAAAAACTAGTGTAATTTTCTTGCGAGACTCCTCTCTTGGAACATTCTTATAATAATACAAAAAAAAATTCACTTAAACTTTTGTTCGTACAGACCTGAAAAACTAAAAGTTAACGATAGTTAAATTGTTAGCTGTGTTTAAGCATAGCAACATAACATTATATATGTTATTTACTTTGTTACTTTCTGACGTACACCAAGGTTTTAACACGAAAGTTACCACAAAAACAATAGACCCTGATTCATTATTTTATTAACGGAAAACTGTTCATTCATTTCAACCGTCCTTTTTGTACTTTCAGGTCCGTTTACGCCCCAAAAACAAACTATGTAAAGAACCATATATCAAAATACCTATTATAATATCAACAACAACAGGGTCTGAAATAGCTACGGATCAAGCTAGCGTAAGTAATAACTGCCTTGGGGCATTATTCTGCGTCACAGGACGACSCATAGCAAGAACTGAGCCCCTTCCACATAATGTCCCATATCCTAGGAGGAGCACGAGCAGTGATGTAGACTATGAGGATTATGATATTAACAAAAGTTGGTCTAAAGTTTCTCTTGTATGAGGTGGAGAACCGTACAAAGATGTGGTGAAGAATGAATTAATAGTTCTTTATATAATACTAATACAATATTTACATCGACAATCTTTTTAACAAATAATTGTCGTGAGATATCGAGACGTTGAGATTGCGCATGGAGACAAAGGCATGGTGGATAACCCTATTTCATGGTGGATAACCCTATTTTATCATTGTAACTATACATGTCACTATAGTAAATTTGTAATTAATATTTTAATATCACAACTGATTTGTATACTGCTTTCAAAAATTCTTATAATTAATTCTTAACGAGTATAATATTGATATGCATTCTATGTTTTACACACTATGTAATGTAACTGAACAGAGTTGGAGAACACGTGTAATATTGCCACAGCAACTAACATGCTAATTATTTTTCCAAATATTGTGTATAAATAATACTGATATCTTCTCTTTTAATAAACTGTCGTAATATTATGGAGTCTGAACAAATAAATGACGGAGAACAGTGACGTTGGTTACTTCTTTATAATCCCAGAACTCCTAACCAGCACCATACCCCTACCCCAAGAAGTAGTTGGTATTGAAATGCTTCGCTTGAGGCTTCGGCCCGCCGCACACGATAAGAAARATCACTCGAGCACTGTTCTCACGGCCCGGCCTCATGAGTCAAAACATCTACTGTTCCCACTATATAATAAAAACATTGAAATGATTTTGAATCCACAGACGAGCGAATCAAGAAGCAGTTCTAAATCAATCGCTTCATCTTCCCTCACAACYTGTGGTTTTATGGACGAGTCAACTACAGACGAAGGAGACGAAACACAACTCTAGTTAAAACATCTTTTTATATGAGTTTAGTTTTAAATCAATGATTTAGTCCGTGAAATAGAAAACGCATCAGTTTTTAAGGCTAGTCAAAGACAAAACAGACCAAGGAAGTTAGCTCCTTTTCAAACGCCGAATTTCTCAGGTATCAAAGTTAAATTAAAGTAACATGATCATGAGAAGATAAGATTCAAATTGAACTCAGCACGTGAAAGATTTTACGTTTTCAAAGTTAATAACGTATAATAGTCGTATATTTTTACATTTTTAAAGAATAGAAAACAAAGCAATCACTGTGAAACAGTATCAAATGAGTTTATTTTTTTCAGTATAATAATGTAAATACAAATATGGTAGATAAAGCCAAAAGTTTTACGAAACTTAGAAAACGACGATGTACTTTTATCTGTATTTTTAACACTCTAGTAGGCGATCTATTCACAAGTTTTGTTATTTTTTCAAAACAAGCGAGTTTCATTTAATGAATCCAAGGTATTTTGATGATAATTACTATTACTATAAATATATAACCATGATTTTAATCGATTTTTGTTAAATATTATATTTCAATTGTAGACGAGAGGCCCACTGAACGGTTTTTGTTTTGTTGTTGTTTTTGTTGTTTTGTTTTATCGCACCACATAATTTGAGCTGCAAAAGCTCCAAAAATATTTATCGAACCAAGAATTAATAAATTATGATTAAATTGATTKAAATTGAAAATTGTAGTATTTGGATTATATGATGTTTTGTCACGTAATATGTTCTGTTTGCTGTCAAGCAATCTATTATGTGCTGTAACGTATTTTATGGAATTTTTTTGAGAGAAATATTGTTATCAAATGTAATGAGCATYGATGGTATATCATCATGTAAAAGAAGGCGTGACGTCGGATTGCGTTACAGTCACACAGGCCCAGCCCGTCGAAGTTCTTCGAGTTGTTCATCCAACGTACTTGTCACGCGCCAAAGTCGAACCAGTCGATCACTACAAAAKAAACAACCAATACTAATTGTACTGTAATGTGATTGGATAATAAGTTACTATGGAAACGTATGACGTTCTGTGACATCATCGTACCTTGACGCAGTAAAGACAAAAGATGAATTGGTTGCGATAGCATTGATGGGATGCCTGTGTGCTTTGACTTCACCTATTGAAAAAGGAACGAAACAGTTGATACTAAGGTAAACGCGGTGAGAGGCCAGGGCTACACGTGGAAGGAGGGTGTAGCTACACGCGTTTGGTAGGTAGGACGAGGATAAGATTGCACGGGGTGGAATAAAGGGTAAAGCCGCACGTGTAAGAGGGGTGGGGCTACACGTGCTAGTAACATCTGCGAATAGAGGGTGGGGACTGAACCTGGGGAGAGGATTAGATTACATGTGGTAACACAACATGGTGCACGAGGTAAGAGGGGTGTGGCTACACGTGCTTGTAACATCTGCTAATAGAGGGTGGGGACTGAACCTGGGGAGAGGATTAGATTACATGTGGTAAGACAACATGGTGCACGTGGTAAGAGGGTGTGGCTACACGTGGAGATACTTACACAACTGTTGACATGCATCAGCCTGCCAAAGCTTCAAGGCACCACGACGACAACCACTCAACAATACATTGGTTTTTGGTAAGAAATCAAGAGCACAGATCCAGTCTGTATGGGCTCCTATCAAATGCTAAACCAAACAATAACATGATRAGCGAAAACACCAACAAAGGAGGCTACCATATGTCTGTACCTGTTGTAGTTGATGTGTGGTGTAGTCCCATTTCTTAATGCTGTTATCACGTGACCCACTAAACAATGMAGTGCCTCGTATACTYAGACAYTGTACTCCATCATAGTGAGGTGGCTCTAGCTTGTACTTTGGGTACTATAAGTAAACAATACCATGTTATTGTATTGGAAAGGATGAAAGAAAAAAATAGCAGAGAGAAATAGGAAAGGGGTGAGTAGGAAGGGAAGTGGAGAATGGGAAGACAGGAGAAGTGGGAACAGAGGAGCACTATGGAATGAAAGGATGGATGAAAAGGAAGGGGGAACACAAGAGAGAAAGAGAGATCTATTACCTGGACACCAGCATTGCCTTCACTAAGTTCATATATCTGAAGAACAATAATTCATGTCAATAAAGTAATCAAAACACATATTGACAACTACTTAAGTCGTTTGGGATTCCTGTGGGTTGACATGGGAGACTACAGCCAAGTTAGTGTGAGCACAAACTCCGAAGCCCAGGCAGAAAGCATTATCAACGATAGTAAATTACCTTAACAAAATGATCCCTTGATCCTGTGAATATTAACGTATCGTCGTCTCGTCTTCTCTCAATGACATTCATAATAGGAGCAGTATGACCACCTAGTTTACCTGTCATAGAATACCTATAAATACAACCAGGTATTACCATTAAAAATACATTAAAAATGCTCTCATTGACATTCATAATAGGAGCAGAATGGCCACCTAGTTTACCTGTCATAGAATACCTACAAATACAAGCAGGTATTACCATTAAAAGTACATTAAAAATACGTTAACTGAACATAATCTTTAATACTCCAGTTTCGAGATCGTATTTGTGCAGCCTTAACCTCGAAAGCATTGTAATATATTGTAACACTTTGTCTACAAAGAAGACAATAAAAATGTATGCTTGATTGAAGCTTTTCTTTTCTTTTCTTTTTTCTTGATTGAATCTAATCTTGCACAAAATAGGATTCGAAACTGGAGTATTGAAAATCTTTACAATCTACAGCTTATTTGACTGGTTATATAAACAAAAAGGTTTGAGTTGTCTTACGTCTTTAAGTCCCATATCCTGACTGTATTCCCCATAGCTGCATAGAGAGATGTTGCACCAGAGCTTATTCTAAGGTCGTTAATATGAGTGTCTGATGTAATACCCGATATAAAACCACTAATCGATGAATTGGACTGAGGGGATAGTGTTTTGATGCATTTAGCAGACTCTTGTCGTAAATCCCAGATCTGTGAAACATAATATTAGAATTATGGTATTAGTATCACAGCAGTACGCGCACGCATGAAATCCGTGAAAAGTAGTACAAAGTAGGTACAAAACTATGCTGATTCCATTGTTTCCAATTGTATAATTAGCAGTATTTTTAGGCGATTAGATATATTCGTTTCACGGATTTAGTGCGTTTACTCAAACTCTATCATTATCACCACCAATTTACATCATCACAATAATCATTATCATCATTATCATCATCATTATCGCTATT